GAAGCCAAGTGATAAAATACAGTCTGTAAAATATAATGATGTAAAATTATTAATACTAAGAATAAAAGTTGTTAAATATATGTCTAAAATTAATTATTCCACCAAGCATTCTTTTTCATACTTTCCATTAGAGTAACTCCATGCATGTCTGTGGTGCTCTGTAACCTAATTCTTTTCACTCCAAGTGCTTCTACATCCTGTTTCTTTATATCCACTTCCCATTTGCTGGAAAATTACTCTATCTTCTAATACTTTTTCATACAGTATTTGTACTTTCTCTTCCTGAAAGCATTCTATTTTCATTCTTGTTTCTTTTACTTCTTTTCTTCCAGGTCAATTTCTCCCAAGATCCACCCTTGACACTACCAAAAATGGTCAGAACTTCTTTTCACCATCTATCCTTCACTAATTCTCTGTCTTTCATCATAAACAAATAAATCAAGCTTTCAGATTTATATTAATTTCTTTGCCATGCCTACATGTGAACAGACATGCTTAGAACCACATATTCAAAATAAACAGCTTTTTCTGAGCAGATGTTCACCAAAGAATCATCATTCTTGTTTATTTTAATTAAATAATAATATAATAATTATTTAAAAATAGAATAAATAAAATGGCCCAATCACTTGTTTTGTATTTCTTGTCTCATCCCCACCATTCAGTCATGGCACCCAGCAGAATATTTCTCCCTTCCAGATCACATTGATTCAGAATGTTGCATGATTTTCCCCCAGCTCATCTCTGGTTCTTCACTTATCAACTTCTTATAGATTTCTACTTTCATATGCACTCACACCACCTAGATGACACCAATTCATATCTTCTGACATACATTTTAGCTCCTTCATTCAAAATTAAACCTTCATCTTTACTTCCTGGCATGTATTGATCAACTATTCTCCACAAGATCACATCAGGTTAATTCAGATCTACTGCATCTTTCCCGTCTCTTCAAATTTCACTGAGACACATTATTTTTCTTTCTCATGTTATTTGTTAATTTATACTCATATTATTAATTCATTTTATATAATTCAAACCCACGCATATTGCATCCATGGGTATATGTCCCATGAGATTCAGGTATTGCAAAAATGTCAGCAATAGGCAGATGGCTTCATTTTTCTAACTGACATACTGTTTATTTGTTTGGTTTGCAGTTGCCTGTGACCCTGGGAGTTACAGCTCAAGCAATGACATAACTTGTCAACCTTGCACAAGCATCCGGATTAAACACTATGGAGCAAAATCCTGCTAAATAAAATCAAAATAGGAAAAGGGAGAATTACTGCAAAAGCATCTTGTTATCTCATCATTTCAATTGGGGTCATTGACTAGAAGTTATGCTAAATTCAAGATTCCTACTGAAAAACAGTAGCTATGCATTAAATCTACTGTCTAATAGAATTTATAGGACTCTCTATTCCATATTATTGGCAACTGATAGCACAGTGTGAAAAATGCCAAATACCAAAATATCTGGCCAGCATAAATTCTAGCAGTTGGCATGATCGTTGAACAAGAAGTGAAATACACAGTTGTCTTCCATGGCTAACAGCTAATTAGCCAATGCACTTCACACAGGATCTAGTTGAATTCTGGGATCTAGTTCTCTATGCACCAATCAGCAGATACCTTGTCTTGTGCAAGTCTCTTAACATTATCAAATAGGCAGTGGCATAATTTTTGAAGGATCTGCAAAATAATCTGGTAGGGCAAAGCTAGGGAAGCAAAAGTTCTACTGTTTGTTGGAGGAAGCAGTCTGAATACATATTCCTGGAAAGTGGTAAGCAAACCTGAGCAACAATTAGTGAAGCAGGTTTTGTAACTTAAAAGAAAGGTTTATTTAGCAGAAATTCAGAGGTAGGCAGAAACACCTAGCATCTACAAGGAGGAGGTCTATGTTGGAGAGAACAAAGGCAAGAAGGAAAACCCTAAGATTAGGAATCTTGTAAACAAAGAGCAGGCAGATTAAGACATAAAGAGGAAACAGAGGGAATCCCTCCTCTCTGCGCCCCACTGCCCACAATAGTCAATAAATAGTGAGGAGCCGAGAATGCATCTGAATTCTCTGAATTCTGCTGGAAATGATTGTGGGTGTTCCACTCCTATCAAACTCTGTGATCAGGGCCCTAATAATCAAGATCCATGAGCATTAGCCTTGTTCCAATTTTTTTAAAAAAAAGGTCAGAAAGAAAGAACACTATTGAATTTTAAGTGCAAACAGTGTTAACTATATTTAAAAGAAGAGAAATGTGGGCAGTTTAAATTTTAAAACCCTGCATCAGGGAAATGTATTTGTCAAAGAATAGAAGGATTTAAAATTCAAAGGCATTTCTATTATCAGTTATATAACATGGTAAGAGGCATAGAAAGCTTCTATATGAGATGTTGCAAATATAAGTGGTTATACATTTCTTTACATTTTTTTTAAATCCATAAGAAAATGCTGGTCTAGAACATTGGCCTACTAAAGCAAAGGTTGTGAGCTTTTCATTGATTCTCACAGCTCAGTTGCCACAGAATAGCAATCTTGCACCTATGACTGGAACAAATGAAATGTGCGTCAGGAATCAGATCCCATTTACTTGATTAAACCTTTTTCTCAGCTTCTACACAAAAGGCATTTCATTTGCCATGACTGTGCCTTACAAGGGGTGCTATCAGGCAACCATCCTGAGTAGGCATGGTAGAGAGGAGTGAGGCAGACTTACTGCCTCATCCCAGTTCTGCAGACTTGCTCTGGACAGAGAGGAAGGTATAGATTGGAGGTCTTTACCATGTGGTTTAACCCAACAGATGCATATATAATCTTCAGACTGATGGCAGTGGGGCATATGGATGGAACGGAAACAGTTTTGCTAACTCCATAGCCAGAGAAACTCATTGAAGTAGATTTTTTCAAAGGATCTGAAGGTAACATCTCCTAGGCTGCAGAATACTTAGTTTTGGCTGTTACTATTGGCAAGTGAAGTTCCAAGAGAAAATTCCCATCCACTTGGGTGCACCTGGTGCCTTTACACCTTCACTGCCAGTAGGAAAAATGCTAGATTAGAATACTAAGTGGTGGAGGTGGAAGTCAAGGGTCCTACAGAGTGCCCCAGTTGCCATGTGGCCAGTCTTTGTTTTCAGTGTTCAGGATCTCCCACTTTATTCCCTTACCAGACAGCAGTGAAGTTTAAAGCAGGAGCAAATAGGGAGATTAGTAACCCACAGGGCAGCTAAGGAACAGGTGCTTGCTAGTCTTGCATGACTGGGTGGAAGCATGGGATGGGTTTGATTGATGTTAGACCTGGACTTTGAAAACGTGGCTATTGTAGATGGTATGGGAAGCACAGGGGAAAGCTGTACTGGATGGAAGCGATGAAGCCCAGTGTCAGAGAGAAAAGGCAGAAAATATCTGACTAGTCAACTTGAAGATCAGCTGTCCCTGCCATATTTTTGTGATTTTTGATTATCTCTTCAGGCAAAAAACATTGCCCCTAGCAATATTCAGGACTAACTTTTGAGCCTTTTTCTATGTTCCTGGAAAATTCACTTGGGCCAATTAGATTAGGACTAATATCTGGCTGAAAAAATCTGGATGACTGCCAGATGGCAGCAAAGAATTAGAGTTTTCTGTATCTCTTTTTATCTCAATCCAGTGGTCATGCGGATTATTGCAGCCCATATCTGGGAGCCTTAATTATGATTAAGGAACAATGTTCTATGGTCAAAAACGAGAATTTGGAAGCCCTTATCCACATACTCTTTGGCTGTTGCTCAGGAAAAAGACTTAGTATCAGTAACATTAAATATACAGTATCAACTCATTGTGCTACAGAGGCCACACAGAGTTGAAGCTCATCCACACACATTCCCACAGACACCATCAATGCACTTTCCTCCTTCCTTGAGACAGGAGCAAAGTATGTCTCTTTGAAGAGCCACTGCCCCTACAGCATTTGTTTTACTATACGTCAGGAATGAGGCTGGTAAAGTCACTGCTCTCACACAGGGACAGCAGCTAGCTGCTGCAGCTTCCCTTCCAAAGAAGTAATCTCCTTCCTGCTACGTGAAGCTCTAGCCACATGAAGGTCAGATTGCACCAAGCCAGCAGAGTCATTCAGCAGTGATCAAGTGCAAGTGGGCTGAAGGAATCTCATTTTCTTCTGGTCACCAGAACAGCAATCAGTTTTCTTCCTGCCTTACCCTTGTTTCTGGCATTTGACAGTCCTAATACTTCCCCAGCTGGTCTTCCACAAGGTCATTATTTCCTTGACCGAAAGAGAGAGAGATTTCCTAGTTGAGGTTCTTTTCTCTCCTACAGCCAAAACAGAAATGGCCACAGAGAAATAGAGCCTTATGGTAGATGGGAGAGGGCATTCTTACAGTAGGCCAATTGAGCCTAGTAGGACACCTCTTCCATGGAAAAGAGTTTTCACCTAGGTGGTTTTCTTCCATTTTTCTGATGGAAAACACCACTTGCTGGATCACCTTGATCTGGCTTCAGCCTCAGAGAAAGAGTCTCTTTTACAGCAATGTCCTCAACAAACAGTAAGTGAGCTATCTTGAAGCTGGGGCAGAGAGTATGTAGATGTGACATTATTCAGAAACCTGGAAAGCCAAAACAATATTTTCCCACAATTGAGTTAAAGTACTATCCACCTATCCCTGAGCTGGCAGAAGACAAAGCTGGCACAACATGGTCACCAATCCCAATTCCTATTCTGCACCTGTTGTGACTGTCCTGTATTTTCCCAAGTATGTATGCTACTTGTTGTAGACAAAGTGATTGGCTTTGTCCCCTGGATTTTCTGCTGTCCCCCTAAAGCATGTCACCAGCCAATGGGGAAAACATCTATCAATGGGGTATTTGCAACACAAATGGAGTGGGACTGACTTCGGGACTCCACCCAGACTTCTCTAGGTTGCTTTACCAGTCCTTCCTCCCACACCGCATTTGGGCCCCTCCAAAATAAAGATATGGGAAGACACCAGGGTAGCCATAACCCAGGAAAGACTTAGCTAGATTGGGCAGCACACAGATCCTGTAGAGCTGAGAACTGAACCTGACCAGCCGCTTGGCATCCACTTCTGTAACGAGAGGGAGGGGAAGTGACTAAAACTGACAAATACAGCAAAACGGCAAACAGACAACAAAACCTCAGTTTAACATTCCTTAATATTTTCTGGACACCTCAGTAATGGATAAAGATCCCCTGTGATGTACAGATCTCCATTTCAGAATACCGTCAGTATAGAATTGCACAAATATGCCCCCCTTTTCTTCCTATTTAGAATAATGGGTATCTGCTCATTTCACTGTCCTCTTAAAATCAAATTGTGCAAATACACTATAGCCACATACCTTTTCAAGCTGGGCTTTTATTGGATTTTTAAAAATTTAACAGTGTGCAAGTTAGAAAAGGTTTGCTCTATCCTTTTATCTGAGGCTCATTAATACAGTAGATGAAGTCAGGAATAAACTAGTTAGGTACACAAAACACATCTGCATTGCTGGACAATAGCATCTCCCAGTTATAAGGAGAGTCACTTCCTCATGAGATGGGCAGTGTCCAAATTTGAAATATAAATAAATAAAATAATACTTGGAAATTAATACCATTTGAGAAGTAAAACAGAACAAGACTCTTGATTTACTCTTCTCACCACCTCCTCCTCCTATGATACATGAAAACCTACTGAGTGAATATCACAAGCTTGTATCACAATCAATATCAATATCTTATTACAGCCACAGACCAGAATTACAAATAAAATACAAATTTGTACAAATTTAAATAAAAATACATTAAATGAAATAAAACAAAACATGATCATATTAATGGTGGGATCATCAGTGGGCAATCAAAGTCTGCTTCATTTTACAGACCGTATAACAAATTAGCTATGTTCAAAGAAACTGAGTCATACTGATCAGATAGCAACAACTGTATAGTTGTATCACATAAAATTAATGAAATGACTGATCAAATACAATAGTTTGGAGAATCTTCTCTTCCCTGTTAGATTGATGATCCATTTAGACAGACATTTAAACCACACTGAATTATGAATACAGGAAATATTTATTGCTTTTATATCTTTCCATTAGGATCTATCCATGGAAAAAGAACTGCAGTTTAATAACTGGAGCTTAGCTAGTTGCATGAGCAAATTATACCTCCAACCATATTAACAGTAGTGTCACTTTGTCTTAGATTAACCTCTAAAGTATCTATTAGGGTTCAGTAGATTGATTCCTGTTCCCATCACTTTGAGGTAGGGAATGGGATACCTTGATAACAGTCATAGGATTCTAATTTGTAAATCTGATGGTTCAAAGGAGAAAACAGAGGAGACAAATTGAAGCCTCATTTGTCTGAGACAAGGGCAAATGAACCTTCCCATTTAGAAAAATGCCACTGTCTATATATTTTTTACACTGCAGGGAGAAGCCAGACTGTGTATTCCATGTTTCCTCAGAATTCCTTGTTAAAGTTAAAAAAAAAAAAAAATACAATATATCAATTCAAATATATCAAAATATCAATTATAGTTCAAGCAGCCCATGGACAAACATCCATGTTTCTATGAACTACAAGAAGAAAATTAAGAACTAGAAAGAGGAAAGTGAGGCGTGTCCCTCGTGTTTTTTTCCAAGATTCTTGCAAGAATCTGGCATGTAGTTATTTTAGAATCTAACTTGTAATCTAGTCAGGCCCCTTGGCCATAAGGGTGCAACTCACATAGATTCAGCATAACATAGGAAAATTACTGAGAATTGCAGGCAATGGAGTGGGAAACTCCTCAGCAGTTACACCGCCACTGCTTCCTACTTCTCATTATTTTTGGCATTCCACCAATAAGAAAATGGCCTATCTAAAACTGAAGAGATGTGCTGAAGAGAGGAAACCACTAAGTACTTTTTTGAAATATTAATCTTAGCCTACAGTCTAAGACTTGCAGTCACAGAAAGCATTGTCTTTTTAGAAATCTGTTTTAGTTCCTTCTTCATCCACTTAGGAACTGCAGGGCATACAAGCTGGAATAGAGAGCAGCCAGTTCAGAGCAGGCATCATTGTTCCACTGACAAGTGATGGAATTTTCCCCAGCTTCTAAATCCAGCCCACAGATTTGCAGCATCTCAAAGATGAGATCAGCTTCCTCCTCCGTCAGGGAATGGGATGGAAGAGTGAAAGTGCCGCCTTCTTCCCCAGAAAGAACCCACTCCAAGGTGTATTCCATCTTTTGAGGTCAAGCAGGAGAATGAGTGAGAGAGAAAAGGGAGGGAGTGGGAGAGAGAGATCGTGAAAAGACCAATTTACAAATGCCAGTAACTGGGCAGTCAGAGATACAGCCAATAGAAAGTCCAGCAAAAATCATGAGATCTGCTCCTAGTTTTAAACAATGGGTTGGCCAGCTCATTATCACCCATGCCAGGCACCTATCATAGTTCAGGACTCCAACTCAGAAATGCTGAGATTGATGGAAACCCCCTTCCTTGGATCTCTTGTACAGCAGCCTTTTCTAAAGAAATGTTTTGGTTTGTAACTCCTGTCATACACCAGCCAGTTGCCCCATGTCATGCTAGCTTGGATTATCGAAGTTGTAGTCCAACACATCTAGAGGGCAATGGGTGAGGAAAGGCTGCTGAGAGAAGCTCAAGCTACTTCCACTTTTTGAGGGCTTTAGCCATAATAAAAATAAAAATGACAACATACAGTAAATAAAAAAAGGGGAGGCATAATCTGATTATCTTAAGTAAAATAAACCAAAAACCTACATTTCAGGCTTCTTTGAGCTTGAGACCAAGGGCAAATAGCCCTTCTTCAGTTCTTCTTGCCCCTGGCAGCTCATCCCACATAGCTTTGTCTCTAATTATACTGAAGGAATAGTACTTACATAGTCTTCTTCCTTCTCCTGGCCTTCAAAATTGTCTCCCCGCCAACATCCCCAAGGTGCTGCACATATTCCCACTTTCACCATCAAATCAGCCCTAGCTACGATATCCAAAATCCTGCCAGACATGGAGAATAACCTATGGCTGCAGCCGGACATGCCACTGGGCTTCCATGCAACAAACTAGAACCTGGGGAAACCAGCTTCTTTTTCCCCACCACGCTTTGCTTCTTCACTGGCCCTGCCAATTTCCAACCACGCCTTTGGCTCATTACTCAGCCAGCAGGAGCTGTGGTCCTTAAAAGCCCAGATAATGAAAACAACGCTCCTGAACAGGCAGTCCAGCTTATGGCAGCAGGGCTCCCAGTGACCACAAGGCCACTGGGATGCCCAGTTCACAAACAAAGCACTTCCCTTTTAACTGAGAGTCACTCTCTTCCAGGGAGTTGGCACACCTCTACCTAAATGCACCCTTATATAAGATCTCAGTGGACCTCTGACTAAGAGCATCAGTTCTGGCTACCTGCTTTCTTAGGCATACATGTTTGAAATTACAGCAGGTTAGAAAATAATACAGCAAAGAATTAAGACAGTAGGGTCTCACCATCTCCACTGGTTTGGCCAGTTGTTTCTTTTCCAACATTTTCTCTAAGAGGGGCATCATCTCATAGTCTAAATCTGTTAATGCAAAAACAGAGACAGGTATCATTCATACCATGACGTTGTCACATGTGAGACTAATCTACACTCATTTTTTTTCCTGCTTGATATATTTGTACCCCTCACTTCACAGTCTTCTGTTGCCTCCAGAATATACAATTTTCCCCAGACCTCTTATTACTTCATTGCTACTGAGTATAGTTTCTGTGCTCTTTTGAGGTGTGAGTGTCCCAAACTGGTAACATTACAGCTCTTACTAGTGGGGGTGTCTTCAGAGTTGCAGAACCGACTTTGCAGCATTGCTCTCTCTTCACTTTTGCCTTGGGATGGAGGAAAGCATTTATGGGCAAGGAATTTATGGATGTCTTCCTTTCCTCTTCTTTGATGATAAAAATAGTAAGTCAGACTTTCAGGGGAATGGAAAGTCTCATTTTCGGTGGGCATCCACATAAGTGCACAGTTGGCACTGTATTCATTAACACAATCATAGAGCAGCATGTGCTGTGAACAGCAACAAAAATCAGCTGGCACAATTGTGCCTCAGCAACCAAAAGGCCTTCAGTGCAGAATCAACCTTAGAGTGATTCCGAACTAGTTGGCAGTTTCATTCATCCATCCATCTACGTTATTGTCCTGAGGGCTAATACAAGGAGAACACAGTGCTGCAAGTAAGTGCCCAGATCAGCTATAAGCACTGTTGCTCCACTTTATATAGAATTCAGCTAATGGCAGTGGTTAAAGAAATGTCATGGCAAAGAACAGCACCACTCTTTCAACCATTGCAGAAAAGATTCTGGTGAAATTCAGGTGAGGAGGGAGAGTTTAGGGGGAGAAATGGCATTAGCCAAACTTGGTCTTATGGGAGAGTATATGCGGAAGAGAGCATGGCTAATTATGATTCTTCCATATGTTATTTTAGTGTTGAAAATGCTTTTCTCCCGGCTACAGACTTCCCATCTGAAAGACAGGAATTCTACTGCATTACTTGTAAAGATGTTGAAACAAATTACTATAAGCTTCTTGTGCATGTAATGCTACAGAAAAAAACAACAACATTCAAATGTCTCAAATGGCCAAACCAGGATTTACTTCCTAGAAACCACTGCTTCAGACTTTTGGCAACTAGATGGTTGCCTGGTTTGCCTGTGCTTGGGTCAGCTATGCCCCTACTTCTTCTTCTGGCCTAGCTGCGCTTCCTCTTCATTTGGATCTCTGCCCCTTTTCCAGGGTTCTTGGTCTGAGTTTTCTTCCACTTCAGGCACAATCTCTTCCTACAATAAATTCTGCTCCTTGTAGAAGGTTGGGAATGACCTACTAAGTTCTGACTCAGGTACAGACATAACTTCCAAGCTTGGAAAAGCAAAGAGGACTATATAGCTACAACAACATCTAACTGATAGTTTCTTGTACCGTCTATAGAAGAGCAAAGGAAGTGTATTGGTCCCCAGAGGTCTCGGTTTTCTCCTATTTTAGTGTCTTGAAAAGCCCCTAAGTAGGATAGCAGCATTTCCACTGGAACTCGGAGTTCTTCATTCAACGAATCCAACTTAGAACAATCAGGATTGTCACCTGCCATGGAAAGCTCCAGCTGGTGGGAGGAAATTTATATCAATCAGTCAGTCAAGTAGAGAGTTGCCACATAATAAACACAGTATGGTTATGCCCACCATGGTGTAGTGGTTAAAGTGATAGACTAAGACTAGGGAGTACCCAGGTTCAGACCTGATCTCAGCCATGAATGTTCAGTGAATGATTTGGGGCCAGTTACTATATCTTAGTTCAATCCTGCTCAAAGGGTTGTTGTGAGAAAAGATTTAGAGGGAGGAAAGCATGGTATGTATACCACCTTGAGCTCCAAGAGAAAAAAAAATGGGATGTAAATCTAATAAATAAATAAATGTTCACAAAATTTGAGAATAATTATTTCTGCTATGTAACAGTCAAGGGGCTCTTGGAACATAAACAGCATGCCTAGATAGAGGAGCCGAGAAAATACATTTGGGTAGGAGTAGGACTGGAGTAAACAGGCAAAATATAAGCAACTAAACAGGAAGTTGGAGCACAGTTCTGCTACTTCAACTGCGGGTAGATTCTTAGACTAAACATTCAAGCAGCAATTAACCTGGACAGGATTCCACACATAAACAATCTACAGAAGCAGCAGAAAGAACTTGTGGAGACCTGGGATAATGGAATGGACTGTGCCACTTCAAACAGCAGGAGGAGGGATCCAGTCCTTCTTTGTGTAAAAATGGTCCTGCAAATTTAAAAAAAAAAAAAAAAAGGAAACTTAGCAGGGAGAGTTTTTATCTAGATCCTTTCTCCCTGGTTCACAATTTGTATGGATATGCAGGATTGATTGATTTATGTACTTGATTTTAATACCACCCTAATCAATCAACTCTGGGTAGGGAACAATAAAAATATGCATAAGCAATCCATAAATGAAAACTCAGCCCGCTCAAAACAGAATAATATCATTAAAAAAAATTTCCAGTCACCATCCATTCACTTAAACAGGAGTTTTTAAGGCATTCCAGAACACCAAGAGCAAAGGGGCCAGCCCTATCTCTGGGGGCAGCGTGGTCCACAATGTTGGGAAAAGCACTACTTTCTGGCCTACATTCAGGTTACTTGACATTAGCAACTAAAGCTGGCAGTAGAAATTCGGGGAAAAAAACCCCTGCTTGTGGAGAACTGCTTCCAGCCTTAGGGGCTTGATTTGTACCTATAGAAGGTTGTATTTTCAAAAATCATGTCTCCTACTCAATACCTAAAGCAGTACAGACCATATAGTTGCTTCAAGACATGTCCACCTCATTCTGCTGTATGTGTAGCTCTAGGGATGGTACCCCACTACTAACTTAAAAGTATTTTCACAGCATCATCCAGCCATCATTAAATGATGTAAAGTTTATCCTCACTGTTGTTATTTTGACCGGATGAATAGAAGATGGCAGTGGAGAAATGACCTAAACAATCTTCCAAATGTGCTGGAACTATAATTCCCAGAATTCCGAGCCAACAGACTAGCCGGGAATACTGAGACCTCTTCTCCCAACCCACCTGGAAGGCATATGGTTGGGGCAGTCTGCTTGAGATATTAGGAAAGGGGTGGAGGGGATGATTTATATAAGGACAAGGACAAGCAAAGAGATGGAGAAACAAAGTGATAAATCCAAGGATATTTGCACAGAAGGCTACAGCACAAATGAAGAGCTTTAATCTGTCAAGCAGCCAAAAAAGGAACATACCATGGACTGTACAGTGGAAACGTCTCCATTCTCCAGGAATATCTCAAAGGACTCCAAAAGATGCTTCTTTAAAGGCTGGGTCTGGCATATCAGTGGCTCATACGCTTCCTTAACTACATCTTTCACTTGCTGGGCATCTAAAGATTATTGGTTTGGTTAAGATTATTAGTGTTATTTCAACAGAACATATTTTTAGTCTGTTTTTTTTTAAAAGAGTACATTTTCTGTGACCCATATTGCTGGGCCTCTGTCTACCACCTGACTGGCACTTCTATAAGACAATACTGAACTTATAAAAGAGATCTGCATTACTGGGGAGACTGAACCCAAGGGTGAATCAAAACTCAATAATTACTTGCCTGTGATTGAAGAGCCCAGTTCGTTCTGGAATACTAACATGAAAAGAGGAAAATAAATATTAGCTTGAAATTCAGCAGAAGAAGAAATATTCTCTCTTTGGAATAGGTGAAAGAACAGGAACATTAGGACATATTGTTTACCCCATGTTACCTTTTTATTGACCCAGAGACAATAAGATTAAAAATGGAGGGTTCTCCAAGCTTGTACCCATGAATGGAGAAGATTCACTAATCTACTTAGAAAGATTTGGCATTACCCACAATAGACAAATGGTTGGTGAAGATGATGGAACTTGCTGAGATGGCTAAACTGACTTCTTTGATCAGAGA